TCTACCCAGAGTGATAGCTTAAGGCTCTGTCTCAAAAAAAATAAAAAATGAAATAAAATAAAACCATCATGCTGTACTCTGTCTGATTTTTATTGGTGAAAAAACAAAGCGGGCTCGGCACCCGTAGCTCAGCAGTTAAGGCGCCAGCCACGTACACTGGGACTACCAGGTTCAAACACCTCCTAAACAACAATGACAAATACAACAACAACAAAAACATAGCTGAGTGCTGTAGCAGGTGCCTGTAGTCCCAGCTACCTGGGAGGCTGTGGCAAGAGAATCGCTTAAGCCCAAGAGTTTGAGGTTGCTATGAGCTGTGACACCATAGCTCTTTACTAAAGGTGACATAGTGAACTCTGTCTCAAAAAAAAAAGCAGAAAGGAAACAAGTGGAAATAACACACCCTTATCTTTCCCCACAGAGTTTTGTTGTTGTTGTTGGTTTTTTCTGAGACAGAGTCTCACTCTGTCACCCTTAATAGAGTGCTGTAGCGTCACAGCTCACAGCAACCTCCAGCGCTTGGGCTTAGGCGATTCTCTTGCCTCAGCCTCCAGAGTAGCTGGGACTATACAGGTGACTGCCACAATGCCCAGCTATTTTTTTATTGCAGTTTGGCCAGGGCCAGGTTCAAACTTGCCGCCCCCAGGTATGTGGTGGGGCCAGCGCCCTACTCACTGAACCACAGGCGCTGCCCACCCCACAGAGAGTTAAGAATTATTTTCTTAAGGACAGGCACAGTGGCTCAGGCCCATAATCCCACCACTTTTGGAGGCTGAGGTGGGTGAATCTCCTGAGCTCAGGAGTTCAAGACTAGTGTGAATAAGAGCAAGACTCTGTCTCTAAAAAATAACTGGCATTGTGGCAGGTACCTGTAGTCCTAGCTACTTGGGAAGCTGAGGCTAGAGGATTGCTTGAGCCCAAGAGTTTGAGGTTGCTGTGAGCTATGATGCCAAGGCAACAAAGTGAGAAAAAAAAAATTATTTTCTTGTTCTAGTATTAACTTTATAAGTGTATCTTAATTATTCCTCTATTTAGGTGCATCTTGCTTAAGAATGTCTTTGAAAAGCCTTAAGGTAATGACTATTAGAATAAAAACATTGCCTACTTTCTAAATCACCAGAAACATAATGTCTACCAGAAAAATTAGAATAAAGGTAAAAGTGTATGACATGAAAAACAAGGTCAAATATACTAGTAACAATAATAATAAATATAAATGAGCCAGGTGCACTGGCTCAAGCCTATAATCTCAGCACTTTGGGAAGCCCAGGTGGCAGGAGCCCTTGAGGCCAGTAGTTTGAACAATATAGACAGACCCCCATCTTTGCTAAAAAAAATCTTGAAAATTAGCCAGGTATGGTGGTGTAAGCCTCTAGTCCTACCTACTCAGGAGGCTGAGGTGGCAGTATCATTTGAAAAAGGAAGGTTGTAGTGAGCTATGATCTTGCCACTGCACTCAAATGGCAACAGAATGAGACCTGTATTTTAAAAAGAGTAAATAAGGTTGGGCACTGTAATCTTATTTTTGATTACCTTATCTCAAACCTATAATCTGAGCACTCTGGGAGGCCCAGGTGAGTGGATTGTCTGAGCTTGCAGGTTCGAGACCAGCCTGAGCAAGAGCAAGACCACCATCTCTAAAAATAGCCAGGTGTGGCGGGCACCTGAGATGAGAATTGCTTGAGCCCAAGAGTTTGAGG